CATGGAAGAAGGCAAGGAGAAAGAAACCATGCCCATAAACCTTTTTATTCACTCATGAGTCCATCCATGGGGACAGGGCTCTGGTGACCTACACACCTCCCAATGAGTGAAAAATAATTAGAACTGTAGATAGAGAAGGTTTAATTGAGGCAGTGACTTTTGAAGAAAATCATGAGAAGAGGTCAGTCTTGTGGACATGCAAGAGAAAGGCAATCCAGACAATGAAACAGACAACTGCAAAGTCCTGAGGAGTGAGTGTGCCTTTGGTCTCTCAATATCCAAGTAGAGGTTACGAACAGAAGCAAGATGAGACAGACAGCTAGCTAATCAGAAATCCAATTGAGAACTACTAGCAGCCTGGACTAGGTTTGCAAGATCTTCAACCTGCAGCCTGAAGCCCACATGCAACCACTATGATAGATACAAATGTGTCACAACGCAGCATCATAAACTTATTTAAAACTTTATGAGGTTTTGCCACTATTTTTGTGACTCAAACTGTGAGGTTCTTGGGTGCAAATGTAGCGAATAATGGCTTTTTGCAGTGTCAAAGGTTGGACACACCTGCCCGAGTGATGAGAAATGATCAGGTACTAGACTTCTGTGAAGGCAAAGGCAACTTTGTGGATGGGCCGACGACTAGGAATAAGAATCGGGGAGGGATCATGGAAGCCCTGACAAACTCTTACGGATGGAGTACAGTGCATTTCTCTTTCTTTCCCTCCCCATAGGTCCTCCATACACCTTGGGTTTGGATTTTCGTAGCCTGCATTACAACTTCTCCACTTAATGAGAGAAATTCAGAAAGCTCTGGCATTCAAAAGAGCTGACTTAGCTGAGTGTAGCAATGAGATCTCTGATCCTAGCACTCTGGAGGCCGAGGCAGGAGGATCATGAGTTCGTCAGCCTTGGATACACGAAAAGAAACCTGTCTCGGGGGAGAAAAAAAGCAGAAGCAAAGCACAGACAAAAAAGCAAATTTAGAGTCAGGGAATGTGGCTCAGTGATAGAGTGTTTGCCCAGCATGCATGAGTTCTTGAGTTCAATCCTCAACATCACACACACACACAGACACACACACACAACACACTCACCAGGATGATGTCTAAAGCACTGCTGCCCCAAGATTCTGCAATTCTAAAATGACTGGTCTATTTTCAGGGATCCAACAGTCAGAATGCCGCACTGCAATCCAGTGTGTTGCTAATATAGTGACTATAATGTGGATAATATAAGTAGGCTGAACGTCTTCTCAGTGCAGTTCTGGTCTATTGATTAGTTGGCTTAAGAGCATTCTTGGCTCTTAGGACATAAACCACAGACACATCCATGCTCAATAAACCAGGTGCCACTCCCTGAAAGGATTGGCTGCTTTTAGCATCACAGACTCAAACTTTCACTCATTTCACTTGTTCTAGTTTATTTGCTTGTTTACTAGCTTAAGGAGAAGAGAGGCTAAATGGAGTAACAAAACCAGACATGAAATGAGAAAAACAAGACCATCTGATTTTATCTTAATCCCTTTGGTATTAACATGGAGCTTGCATTTAGAGCCAATATCCTGGTCTCTGCACAAAAGTGATACTCTTGTGTGGTTAACTCATCGAGTCTTTTGATTATTTCTATGTAAAAGTAGCTTACTCTCCTCAGCAGTGAATGGCCTATATTGCTTTCAATTAGATGAGTTCATAGTTCTATCCCAAATTATATCTGCTACCATATCTCTACTTCAGCAGAAAAGTATACGTTATCACCATGAATTATGTTTACTTAATTTAAAAAACGTATTTATTTGTGGTTTGTGTGCAGCATGTATGTGTGTGCAAGTGTGCATGTGTCCCATGCTGAGTGGGGTCCCTGAAGGTGTCAGGCAGGGAAGCAAACTACAAGAAGAGTTAAGAATGAAATCCCAGCCGGGCGGTGGTGGCGCACGCCTTTAATTCCAGCATTCAGGAGGCAGAGGCAGGCAGATCTCTATGAGTTTGAGGCCAGGCTGGACCGACAGCCTCCAAAACAATACAGAGAAACACTGTCTCATAAAAAACAAAAAAAAAAAAACCCCAGTGCAGATTGGCTTCTTCAACCAGGATCAGACTTCAGGGAGTCTAATAACAGGTGGTTCACTGTCAGCATATTTAAAACCCAGTGCAGTTTGGGGGAAAGGTTTCCAGACAGCAGTCAATCCAATTCCAGGTGCACAGTAAAGCTGAAGGTGTGACTACATAGAGACTCCTTTACAAAGTACGTGTGACCAGGAGGATGGGATCTATAGCTAAAAGGCCTAGAATCCAGCGTGGTCTCTGACCGACAGCATAGAGTACAAGTGACATCTCCCCTAAGGATGGGTACTGGTCTAGGGAGGGAAGAGTCTGGGGTGGTCAGTCTGAGGAATGTGGGTGAGGTCTGTCTGTTTCTATAGCAAAAGATTGGTAAGGTCTGTCCCTTCAGAGGGCAAAAAGGTCACCATGTTGTTAACAAAATCCACTCTCAGCTTTCTGGATGGAGTGCAGACTGGTATTTGATTTTTATCTCCCCCACTGAGAAGACACCCTGTGTGATGAACATTCCTGATTCTCTTAGTGCTTCTCTGTGAGGACAAGGTCCTTTGTGCCCAACACCATGCTTGGGCATTGGGGGGGGGGGCAGTGGCTTTGTGCATGTGTTACATAAACTGGTTTGGAACATAGGCTTGGAATGGCTGATTTATCAACTCAAGGTGTGTTCACAGGTACCCTGTTTGCTATCTCTAGGAATTGGCTAACCCTGGAGGGGCAATTCGTCCTCATGTCCCCAAGGGCCAAGATATCAAAGCATCATTAAATGGTTGGACTGCGTGACTGCTAACTCAGGAAACAACTGTGATTTTGTGGTGTAAGAGAATCATGGGGGGAAGCTAAGGATAACACTTCCATTCATACGATGTTTATGGAGACCAGCACAGAGAAAAGAGGGCAGATAGATGCAAGCTTCCCTAGTTTCTTATTACCACTGCCAGGAGAAGTGTGCTATTTTACCCTGGTTTCTTATTACCACTTCGGGAGAAGCGTGCCATTTTAAGTATGATAGGCACAACGATGCACACCTGTAACCTTAGTACTTGGAAGCCTGAGGCAGGAGACGCCAGAGTTCTGTGCCAGTCTAGGCTGCATAACAAGACGCTGTTTCAAAAATATGGCAGGATATTATAAATGAAGTTTTATTTAAAGTTATCCCTGCCATCTCTAATACACGTTTCATTTTCTTTGCTCTACAGCAGGGTGACTTCTCAATGAACCCGTCAAGGATAGACAACATTAACTGAAAATACATTTGATCCCTTACCCTACAAGATATCACAGCTTAACCCAGTCTGCCTCAAATATCCTCAGAACACACTAAGTTATGGTTGGGCAAAACCTTCTAACACAAAATCTATTTTATACCATAACATCGAATCCCTCATGTTATTTATCGAATACTTGGAAATAAAAATAGGATGGTTATATGAATAAGCTGTGTACCAATATAAAGTAAAAGGTTTAAGTGGGACCACTGTGAATTGAGAATCAGCTGCATATAATATCTGACAGGATATGCCTGGGTCATTCTGAGTTAGCTTCTGGTCCTGTCATGCTAACAGCACATTATTCATAATTGTTTTTAAAGATAATGCCTTGCCTTGCAACTCAGTCTGGCTTCAACCTGAGATCCTCTTGCCTCAGTTTCCCCATTGCTGGGATTCTAGGCCTGTGCTAACATGCTTGACATTACTGGACCTTTTAAAGTAGCTGCCTAGAATAAATTGTTTTTAAGTGACTAGCACTGGTTCTTAAAGGGAGAGGAAAAAAAGTAAAGAATGTGGTGTAAATACTTCAAACATTCATTTAACTCAAGTATTTTTGGCAAGAAAAAACAAGTGACTTGCTTAACATATGTAAAGTTCTAGTCCATATTTAGAAGGCTATTGCTTAAATGTAGTGAATTATGTAAATACATTAACAAATTATTTCATTCAAAACTACAAAAGGGCCGGGCGGTGGTGGCGCATGCCATTAGTCCCAGCACTCGGGAGGCAGAGGCAGGGGGATCTCTGTGAGTTCGAGACCAGCCTGGTCTACAAGAGCTAGTTCCAGGACAGCCTCCAAAGCCACAGAGAAACCCTGTCTCGAAAAACCCAAAAACAAACAAACAAAAAACCACTAAAGAGCACAAAAGATGAAAGTCACCCGCGCTTTTCTTCCTGTGTACGCCCTGCTCACGAACTCCACTACCCCAGGAATGCCCTTCTTCAGAAGGTAGGCTCTGCAGCACACCTCTCAACAGTCCCCCTCAACCTGTACCCACGTGTGAGTAGCGCCGCCAAGCAACCATGACCTTTCCTTGTTCTCTTCAGGCACTGGACCCCTGATAACACTTGGGACTGGAACTCTCACGTGGAAGGTGGCTGTCAAAAGACTAACAGAAATAGTGTAATTTCCTCTTTCAGGAACCTAAAGTAAGAACCAACGACAGTAAAGAAAGCTGGAAGGTCCTGGAAGAGACTTTAAGACTTTGCTACCCATGTGTACACCCAACCTGAACCGATGCCCCACCAAAATACTACAAATAGTTTGTAACTCAGCACACAGCTAAACATTCGGGCTAGCGCTTGTGTTTTAGTTTCTTCTATTGTTGTCAAAGACAAAAAATAACCTATCGGTGAAAAGGCTGTAATAAGAGCAGATTTAATGAGGATCCGAGTGTATGGTACATAGTGGTTTTATTTGAAGTCCCCAAAGATGCTTTTACACTCTACACATTTAGAGGGTCGCATGAATACAGTCCACCTAGTACAAACGCATGCTGTCCCTTTCACGAAGTTCAAGCTTCTAAGTACCTTTCCAAGCCTAAGCTGAAGGCTGAGGGAGAACTTCCAGCCAGCTCACCTGGGGCGATGACTCTGGTTCAACTCTGTGACTTCATCGATTGCTTCTGCCTGAGCAGCGCCAGGCCCTCGGGCATCGACTGCTCGGGTCTGGCGCGGGAAAGCGAGTTTGAAGGTGGGTTCGCCGGGGCGGCGGGCGCGGCCTCCCCGTCCTCGGACGCTGCGGCGAGCGGTCATGTCGGAGGCGTATTTCCCGGTGGAGTCGGGCGCCCTGGGACCCGAGAACTTCCTGTCTTTGGACGACATCCTAATGTCGCAGGAGAAGCTGCCGGTGCGCGTGGAGACGCCCATGCCGCGCCTGGGCGCCTTCTTCCTGGAGCGCGGCGCGGGCGCCGAGGCGGACTACGCGCTCCCTCAGGTGAGGCGAGCCCGGGGAGGCCGCGGGGACCCCGGGAAGCTGCACGGCGGCCCCCGACTGGTCTCCGGCCCCGGTTGAATTTGTTTTTAAAGCTCCCCAAAGTTACCGGCTTTCCGAACGCTGAAGGGTTGGCGCCAGCCGAGCGTCTCGGGGTCTTAGTTTCGTGACTGTTTTCCGGAACACTTGTTTGGGGTTTGGGAGGCTGCAGGTTGCCTAGTGCACGCTGCACAGTGATGACAGTGTCCGCAGCCTGTTTGGTTTCCAGGGGCGGGTTATCCAGGGTGGGCGGAGGCTGGGGATGGTGGCATGAAGGTGGCATGACTGAGCTGTGTGCTAGGTTCCTAGCATCCTCTCCCGTAGGCAACTTAACAAAGATTGAGTGGCTTGGCCGGGGTCCCACAGAAATCCATGGTGGCTTAACCAAGCCAGTCCTCGGTAAAAGGTTTTCATGGTTCGGCATGAGTGTGGCAGCTCCGTGTATTAGCTACCCCCCCCTTTGCCCTCCCCTAAAGCCTAACAGAGGCCGGGTAACAAGGCCAGGGTTCCTCCAGTAAGTGGTAAGCTGGGACCAGAACCTAGGGCCGTACGGCTTCAAATAGGAGATTTCTTACAGTGTCTGGCCCCTCATCTCATCTTCCATGTTGGTTCCCAGTTCTTTTAAGGCTTTGAAAACGTAGACGCTGACCCTTTCTGCCATCTCTGTAGCCGTGCCGTGTGGGTTGGGAAGGGGCTGCCACCCGACTTCAGATTGATTCCATTTTGTTCTCTTCTGCCAGCATCCCGTTTGGTGCTCATATACCATAGCTGGAGAGTATGCAAAGTAAAAAACTGTATTCGCTTTCTTTAGAACACTCCCGCTTGTGTTCTATGTTCTTTGTCATGTTTTTGCTGCTGTTGTTATGACCTACTTTCTGTTTTCATTGCATCATAGCATGAAACCTCAGCCTAAGCTGATCTCATATAAACTAGTATTGCAATGAGGCCAGAGGCTGGGGCAGTGCGGGCGGTGGGACATGCCTAGCAGGCATGACTTTAGTGTTAGAATTAAAGAGTTCCGGGGTGCTGCTGAGTAGTAGAGTCACTGTAGATTTCAGTGAGGCACTTGCCATTTTGAAAAACTGAAGGAAGGATGTTGAATGTTTTCACTCTAAAGAAATGATATTTGAGCTGGGAGGTGGTGGCGCACGCCTTTAATCCCAGCACGTGGGAGGCAGAGGCAGGCAGATCTCTGTGAGTTTGAGGCCAGCCTGGTCTACAAAGCTACACAGAGAAACGCTATCTCAAAAAAACGAAAAAGAAATATTTGAAGTAGGTGGTTAACGTGATTTAAACATTCAGTATGAACGTGTATTACAGCAGAATTTAGTACCCTTTAAACATACCATTTTAACTTACCAGTTAAGAATATGTAAATAAGGGCTGTAGACGTGGCTGGGTGAATAAAGTTCTTGCTGCATTAGCATGAGTACTTGAGTCTAGATCCGCAACACCCACATAAAAAACCAGGCATGACTGTGTCTCTGAGTCCAACAATGGCAGGAGATGACTGGTACATCCCAGAGCCCACTGACCAGCTAGTCTGACTGAAATAGGTAGCCAGAGAGCCGTTTCAAAATTAAGATGAAGAAGTGGTCAAGGAGGACATGACATGTGACAGCAGCCTCTGGTCTCCACACATACCATGTGTACCAGGTAGACAGTGTGCATCCCTGCCACACACACACACACACACACACACACACACACACACACACACACACACACACACACGAGATCTACCAGAAAAACGTAAATAAACTTTAAGTCTATGGCTCATTTCTTCAGATCACTTCACGGTCACTTCCCCAATAGAAGAGGCAGTATTTCCCAGAAAATATGAATTTCCCTTTTTTCCCCCCCATACACTGCCTGTGTCTTTGTCTTTCAATTCTACATTCTTGTCTGATACAGGGCACAAAACTTGAGCTTCCCTTGTGGCTGGCCAAAGGACTCTTCGACAATAAGCGGCGCATCCTTTCTGTGGAAATTCCCAAGATATACCAAGAGGGATGGAGGACTGTGTTCAGTGCAGATGCTAATGTCGTGGACCTCCACAAAATGGGGCCCCATTTCTATGGTTTTGGCTCCCAACTTCTCCATTTTGACAGTCCAGAGAGTGCAGATATCTCCCAGTCTCTGCTGCAGGTAAGTAGTGTGAAATATTAGACTGTGCATATCTTAGCAGCCAATGATGGCAGCTCCAGACATCATTAAGAGAGATGGGGTGGAGAGAGAGAGAGAGAGAGAGAGAGAGAGAGAGAGAGAGAGAGAGAGAGAGACAGAGACAGAGACAGAGACAGACAGAGACAGAGACAGAGAGAGACAGAGACAGAGAGAGACAGAGATAGAGAGACAGAGAGAGAGACAGAGAGAGAGACAGAGAGAGACAGAGAGAGAGACAGAGAGAGACAGACAGAGAGAGAGACAGAGAGAGAGACAGAGAGAGAGACAGAGAGAATATACATCTTAAAGCTGGACCCCAAGTTCAGTTCCTAGTACCCATGTCAGGCAGCTCACAACCACCTGTAGCTCCAGCTTCAGGGTATCTGACACCCTTTTCTGGTCTCCATAAACACAGTGTACACAAACATAGACACACATACATAAAAATAAGTCTTAAAGTGTTAAGGCACTAAAAAATTTTTTTAAGATTATAATCTAGTTACAACATTTCTCCCTTCCATTCTCCTTTAAATCCATGTCTTTTTTCTACTAATTGTTATTTCATGCATATATGTGTTTCTATATACATATATATTCCTAAATATAACCTGCTCAGTCCATATAATGTTTCTTGTATGGTTTTTCTGAGCTGACTGCTTCAAAAAAATAAAAATAAATTGAAAAAGTACCCATGGGCTCTCAGATCAATAAAAAGTTTTTAACTGGAAAAGAAAAAACAACTATTAAGGGATTTATTGAATTGGCTTACATGATCAGCAATGGCTGTGTCACACAAAGAGAGTAAGAATCAGTAGTTGCTCAATCCACAAGACTGGATGTCTTAGCAGTCCCAGTCTGGTACTAAAGGCCTGGAGGATCCTTGGAGAGCTGCTGGTTCTGGTATCATCTAAGGAATGCCACCCCAACAGGATAGGTGAACACGCAAGACTGAGGGCAAGCAGACAAAAAGCACTTTCCTTCTTCATGTCACTTTGCCTGAACTGCCATCAGAAGGTGCTGCCTACATTTAGGGTGAGTCTTCCCAATTCAAATGAAAATCCCTCCTAGGAGTGCCTACTGCTTACAGTTCAGTTGACTCCTGATCCAGTCAAGTTGACAACTAAGCGTGTCCTTCAAACTTAGGGAAGTACATGGTCCATAAACTTTGTTGGTATTCTAGGGTGACTACACTTACACTGTGTCAATGGTCCAGTACCTGCCTATTATCTGTGAAGCTATGAGTTCAAGCCCTGGCACCATAAAAATAAACCCATAAAGGTTTTACATGGTATGCCCTGGAGGAGTGAGAAGGGGACTTAGGGCTTGACAGGATACATTGTTTACATGTATGAAATTATCAAAGAATAAAAAGATACTGTATTTCAAAGGAAAAAAATAGTTAATCCAACTGCTGTCAGTCACCTGACCAGGAGTCCACCCAGAAGAAAGCTTGTTCACCTGAAGACATGCGGAGGAGAAGGGAGGAATAATTACTCCTTAATAAGTCAGTGTATATACACCTTTCCCAGATGGCCTTCCTGTCCTAGATCTTTTTCTTTCAGATACTGGCCAAAAAGCCTATGCATATTTTCATTAGCACCCTGGGTCTCTCGCTATCTGAAGTTCTCTCTACCTTCCATGGCAGCTGCTTGCCAACTTCTGTTGCAAAAAGGCAAGGCTTTCTCTCATCCTCTTCTCATCGTGCTTCCTTAGGCAGCAGCCAGGATCTACAACTAGCTCTCCCTATTGTTTTTCTCAGACTTTAGTAAGATTGTCCTTTAGCTTCAAAACAAAAAAAAAGGTTACTCAATGATAGGATCCTATGTATTGTTCTAATACACATATATATTCTATAATGTTTATGTCAGGCTAAACATCTGTCTCTTCAGTATTAATTCTTTTGTGTGTGTGTGTGTGTGTGTGTGTGTGTGTGTGTGTGTGTGTGTGTGTGGTACATTATGTGTGTGCTCATGTTGAATGTATGAGTACAGGTGCATTCTTGGCACGGCACACATGTAGTGGTCAGAAGACAACTTTGGGTGTCAGGCCTCACCTTCCAAGGTTTCTGTTTTTCAGTTGACTACAGTTAAATTCATCAGGGAGCTTCCCAGGAGTCTCTTGTCTCCACTTCCCATCTCACCACTCAAGCAGTAGACTACAGGTGTGCAGTGCTGTGCTCAGCTTCTGCATGGGCTCTGACTTAGGAATTCAGACTTTGGTCCTCTGTTTGCATGGCAAGTGCTTTACCTACTGACCCACCTCCCCAGGCCCTTAGCCATTTGTTTTTAGTACTTTGAAATGTGCAGTTCGTTATAAGCACTTTACTGTGTGGTAGCTCTCCAGAACTTCTCATTCTCATCTGATACATTTTAAAAATACATGACAAAGCCAGGCAGTGGTGGCGCACGCCTTTAATCCCAGCACTTGGGAGGCAGAGGCAGGTGGATCTCTGTGAGTTGGAGATCAGCCTGGTCTACAAGAGCTAGTTCCAGGGTTTTTTTTGAAACCCTTTTCAAAAAAAAAAAAAAAAAAGACCTGCCTATTCTTTTTAATGTATTTCCTAAGAATTGGAACCATGAGGAAACTGAAGAGGCAAAGGTGATGGTAGATTATAGGTAGGTGATAGGCACATTGTTAACTGTTAACGGCCCAGTTGAAGGTCTGAACTGGAGCTCCTTTTGGAAATACTTGTTTACCTGTTAGGTTTCCTTCTTCTGGGATTAAAACGTGGTTCTCTCATTAATTGAATCTGTGATTTACTGAAGCTACATGGCCTGTCTTAGCATCAGTTTTTCAACTGTATGACAGAGGTTAACAATAACATAAAAATCAGTTATTGTAAAAAAAAGATGTAATGCCATGTTGGTTAATATTTAATAAACAGTGCAGTAGTTACTTTTCCATTGTGATAAAACACCATGACCAAGGGAGCTTACAGAAGAGTTTCTTTTGGGCTTACTGTTCCAGAGGGATAACGATCTGTCATAGCAGCAAACAGCTAGTGTGGTGACTGAGGCAGGAAACTAAAAACTCACACACTTTACAGTAAGCACAAAGCGAGGAGTACCAAGTGTTCAAATGCAGTAGCCCATAGGAAGCATTGCCATTCAGACCACTGCAAACTAAATATAATTTTATAGGTAAAACAGTGTTATGTTACCATCCTTTGTGGTGTATATATACTAATGTAATTCCTCTTAATTATTCTTTTCATATCAGAAAAAAGGGATCCTTTATGTCTCTTGAGCACTAAACAGTCAAAAGACTTTAATTCCTCCTTTTTAGTTTTATAAGAACTGTTAGCTCAAGGGCTAGAGAGATTGCTTATAGGTTAAGAGAACCTGCCTTTGCAGAGGACTTGAGTTAGCTTCCTAGCAACCATATTGAGTGAATCTCAGTGGCCTGTAACTCCTCCAACTCTAGGGGACCCAATTCCTTTCTCTGTCCCTTATAGGCACCTTCATGGGCACTTCAGCAACACAGTGAGAATCTGTCTCAAAAAAGAAAAACTTGGGGCTGGTGTGCTGGCTGTGATGGTGCAGTCAGGAGAAGAGGCAGGTGGATTTCTATATGCCTTCAAGGTCAGCATGGTCTACATAGTGAGATCCTGTCTCAAAACAACAGAAGTTTGGATTTGGAGGGATGGCTTAGCAGTTAAGAGCACTGGCTGCCCTTCCCGAGGACCTAGGTTTGATTCCCAGCACCATATGGTGGCTCATAACCTTCTATAATTCCAGTTCCAGGGGAGTCTAACACCCTTTTGTGGCCCCCACAAGAACTGTGCATATGTGGTACACATGCAGGCAATGCACTCACACGTACAAAATAAATATTCTGTGGCTGCCTGATCACAAAATTTTTTTTAAAAAAGAAGTTCATACACAGACTATAGACAAGAAGGTTAAATTCAGGTTCATCAAACTATAGAATGGAAAGCTAAAAAAAAAAAACATGTTTGTTTCACCAAAACTTGGACTTTTTGTTGCTGTTTGTCTGAGATGGGGTGTCTTGATAAGTTACTCAGATGGCCTTTAACTTGCTTAGCATTCTAGGCTGACCTGTACTTGGGATCCTCAGCCTCCTAATATCTGGGATTACATTCTGTGCCAATAGGCCCAACTCCCAAGACTTGTTCTTGAATTAAAATTTTCTTTTTTAACATGAGTTGTGTGTTTTCTGTTTCCACCACTGCTTTCAAGTGTTTTAGAGATGCTTCCAGATTAAATGGTTTTGCTGTGAGAGACAGATGGGAAAACTGGATTGGGGCTTGTGGTTTTTGCTCAGAGCCCAATGGTAAAATAATGCTCTTTGATCGTATCCATCTCCATCCTGCTCTTAGGCTGAGGAAAATAGAAACCGAATTCAGCTAATCTAAATCCCATCTGGTTGAAAGTGGTTCTTGATAGTTTCTGCAGTCATTGTTACCAATAACAACAGGCAGTACTTTCCAGAGGCTTACTGTGTGCCAGCCTCTTGCTGCATGCTTCACAGACATTGCCTCACTGGTTTTAGTAAAGATTCGTTGGCTTTCCATAACGCCCTATTTTACTGTAAAAGAAACAAAGGCTTTCTTAAGTAGTAGAAGGCACTCAAGCCTCCTGGGTGAGTCCTGAGACCAAATTCTTTGAAGCCATCTAAGTGCTCCAGTATAGGGGCTGAGTAGAAAGCTCAGTGGTGAGAGCACACATTGCGCTTGCAGAGGACCCGGGTTTAATTCCCAGCACCCACTTCAGGTGGCTCACAACTGCCTGTAACTCCAGCAACATGATGGCACATACATTTATATCTATATACACATATCCACATAATTAAAAAGATAGCAATAATGCTAGATATGGTGGTGTACACTTTTAATTCTAGCACTTGAGAGACAGAAACTGGTAGATCTCTGAATTCCAGGCCAGCTGAGGTTACATGGTGAGACCCTGCCCAATAAATAAGTAACTTTAAATACTCCAGTAGAAAAAAAAAAAAGAAAAGAAAATACATTGAAGGGCCAGCAAGATTCTTAGCAGGATAAGGGCGCTTGCAGCCGAACCTGATGACCTATGCTAAACTAGTGGAAGAGCTGTCTCCCACAAGTTGTCCTCTGACGTCTACACGCATACGTGGTATCGCATGTGTGCCTTCTGTCTCCACCCCAAAGTAAATTAATGAAGTTTTCAATGTGTTTAGCTTTATGGGATGTGATATTGCCCCCTGATTCTCTTACTCTTCTTCAGACTTTTACTGGACGGTTCCGCCGCATCATGGACTCCTCCCAGAATTCTTACAATGAAGACACTTCAGCACTGGTAGCCAGACTAGATGAGACAGAGAGAGGCTTATTTCAAACAGGGCAGAAAGGGCTGAATGACTTTCAGAGTTGGGAAAAGGGTCAGGCTTCTCAGATCACAGCATCCAACCTCGTTCAGAATTATAAGAAGAGAAAATTCACTAATATGGAAGACTGAAAGTGAAAATGAAATGCAGCGTGTGGATTTATCTCTGTGTCCCTGGTAAAATCTAGTTAATTTCATGGGTGACCCAACTCTGTCCTGCTTCAGCACTTCCCTTCAGCAGTCTCCGAGCTTGGAACTGTTTGGTTGGGGGCAGATGTGGATGTTGTTGATCCTGGACTTTAGTTACCTGCTGCTCCACAGCATCTGCCTTTTGACCCAAGAATGCAGCTGAGGAGGAGCCAGAGTCATCTTAAGTAAGGGTCATGGACATATACATAGTCAAGTTGGAACTGGGTTCCTCGGGTGTCTGATCTCATTGGCTGCAAAGGACAAGTACAAAGTGGGCCATCTCTGCCTGTTCGCAAATTTCTCTTAAACTTATTTGCCTTACCTTCCTGATGGTTGGACAAAGGACAGCATCCCTACCATGCCGTCTGCCTGCTGGGACTTACTCCAATTTCCAAAACAGGAAGTTGGGAAGAAAAGGGAAAGTCATGAGTGGCATAGCAGAAGGAGAAGACATTGAGCTCTTGTGTCCTGTAATCAGGGCTTTTGAACTAAAATCACATCCCTCCAGTCCCCCCAGAAGAGCCATATAGAGCACTGGCACACTTGTTCTGTTCTCTGTCTAGAAAAGCTGTCAAGGAGGGGTTAGGGCTTGAAAAGTAGTTATTTAAGAGTGTTTCCCAGCCTTTGTAATCTTTGCATCAGGGGCTTAGCCTAGCTGAAAAACAACCTGCCAAGTGTTAGTGGGGAATATTCCTTTACAATTTTTTTTCTCGAGGAAATACTGCAACCTTAATGTGAAGAGGACCCCTGACTGCTTACTAGGAATCTGTTTAAAGTTGCACCAGAGAGATGAGTTCTCCAGACCCTAGACTGTCACTGTCAAAAACCTCATTTCCTAAGGCTATTTGGATTGTCTAGTAGGTAGTTTCTCCACACCACTGGCCACCCCTGGCATCCTATAGCTACTGGAAAATATCTTCAATGTAAATATGGAAGGATTTGGGTGTCCAGATTTAAAGTGACAGAGATGCATTTAAATGCCTGTCTTAGCACAAAAATGTTTTTATCATTTGACTTCATTCTAAATAAATGATGGGCTTTGCACTTTGTGTGTTGTCTAACTGCCGGGCTGCCAGGAATCAGCAAACCATCTAAGGATGTGTTCTTTGTTTGATCTTATTTGACTGTAATGCTCAAATCTGTTTCAACAACTACTTCTGTTTGTACGATGTGCATAAATACCATGAACATTCTCTGGGAGTGTGCTATGCCCTAGGAAAATGACCCTTCTTTCCTACCACAGCTTTATGCACACTCAGGGCCCAGAAACCAGGGTGCAAAGAGTATATTAGCTTAGCTTTTGACAGCTCTGCTTTCACAGGTAGCTTTGTTTTTAAAGCTAACTCTGAGACTGCTGATATTGTTTTCTTTTTAAAAAGCATAAAATAAATTTCCTCAGATACCACATATTCAGAATTCATTTTAAATTTTGGACAGATTATATCATATAGTTGTTTTTACCTATTTTCAGTTACATAATATCTTTCAAGTCTGTTGGACTATTCTTCTTCCCAGAAACCACCTCCCTAGTTCAGGTTTCTGGGTAACCATTTAGTTCATTCAAAGAATTGATTTTTTTTTCCTCAAAAAGAATGAATTGTCTCAAATATTAAAGTGCTTCTCTCTTCTCCTGAAGGGCTCTCTTGAGGTAACTGACCATAGTTATAGATAGAAGACTTCATTTGCTCTGCAGGGTTTCCCAGGGACACATTGGGCTGTAAGAGGATAAGGCTGTCTGAGTTCTGTTGTCCTTGACCTCTAAGTCTGGACCGCTCCAGGCTTAGCTGTGGATCTTTGTCACTTGCTGATGATTCCCAAGTTCAGAACTCCACTCAGCTCTCACCCTCTAATCCTAGACCTGTTACCCCGGCCCCACCTGCGCGGTGTCTCCACTGGACATCAGGCAGATCTCATAATGGTCGAGACTGAGCTGCCAGTCTTAGCCACGGTCCACTCTTGTGGCTTTTTTCATCTCTGTTGATGACAGCTTATTCTTGTTGCTCAGGACAAAAACAAAAAACAAACAAACAAAATGTAGTACTAGTCTGGCTTTTAATTCTCCATCTCTTCTAAGCCTACCTTTAGCTAACAACCTTTCCTACCTCCAGTGGTAGCACCCAGCTGTTCCCCACATTCACTCTCCTTCAGACTGTTCTCACCATGCTCCCTGATGGTCTGGTCCAAACATCAGATCCAGTCAGCGTCTTCCCATCAGGGTGGAAATGGCCACCCTGTCATCCTAGCTCACTATTTGTGGAAAAACTCTGTCTGTAGCCACCAACCAGTAACCACCTTTCTTACTGCTTCTGTAGCAGGGGTAATTTGTTTCATTTTTATATAAAGATTCCACTTTCTCCCTTGCAGAGCTTACTGCTTTCACCCTCAGCACCACTGAACCAGTAGACTATTCTATCTGAAGTAGTCACACAGGAATGTGAAATATTAAGCATCTCTAAAAGCTCGTTGGTTTCAGGGCTGCAGAAATGTTGCTCGTGCCTAGCAATCAGGAGGCCTGGGCTCAGTCCTCAGCACTATTCTACATGGAATTTCTTGTTCCATCATCAATCTTCAAGGAAGCTCAAGAGGGCTTTTTATCTGTAGTCTTGAAACAGTGGTGTTTAATGCCAAGATTGACCTTTGCAAAGAAAACTGTATGTGTGTTTCCGGAAATATTTTAGTGTTGAAGAGGAAAATGTGTACTTCAAGGATTTTATAGGACAAAATGTAGACTATCTGATTATGAACTGACTCTGGGTTAAAGTGCTTGCTGCCCAGCCTGACAGCTTGAGTCCAATCCCCAGATCTATATGGTTGAAAGAACTCATTCTCTTAGACTATCCTCTGACCACATATGCACCAAAACATGTGTGTGTGCACACACTCTATGCACCATAGTTTCAACATTTGTTACCTAGTAGAGGTAAGCTTTTTGACGTGGACTGCACCAAACAGTTTTCTAAACAGTGGTTATGTGGGGCTGGGGAGATAGCTCAGTCAGTAAAGTGCTTGCCTTGCAATATTAGGATCTGAGTTTGATCTCCAGAAGCCACATACAGGTACCAGGCATAGTGGCTGCACAATTGTAATCCTGGCATTGGGGAGGCAAAGATAGGCAGATCCTTGGGCTCACCCACCAGGCAGCTTTGCCCACTTAGCAAACTATAGGCCAGTGAGAGACAATCTTAAAAAAAAAAATAACAGAGGAAAGAAAGATGTATAGTACCTGAGGAATGACAACAGAGGTTATCCTCTAGTTTTCATACTTAAGTACACATGCTTGTGTATCTGTATATATAACATACACATAGAAAAATAATGAAATTCTCTAGACCTAAAGAAAGGTCTCTGAAAGTTAGAGTCCTGACACTAACTCTTGATACTGCTCTCTTGAGTGATCTCCCTTTACTAATTAATAATGTATACAATGTACAATGAAGCGAGGGCTAGTCAGCAGGACCACTGTACTGGTTATTCTTCTCATCGCTGTCAAGGGTGACTCAGTTTAAGGGGATCGGGTGTAGACTCAGCAGCTCTCTGGCCATGGGCACATGCGAATGGAACTCCCTTCTTCATATCAACACAGCACAAACAAAGCAGAGACAGGAAGTAGAGCCTGGCATTAAAGGTCAAGTCCAGCCCTCAGTGGCCTGCTCCCTCCCCTGAGTCCCCACCTGAAGATTCCATAAAGTCCCAGTACAGGACCACCAAATGGGGACCAAGAGCCCAAAGACCTGTGGTCACACTGAAGCAAAACCATCCTACTAAAAGCAGATGACATATGGAGCGGGTGGGCTGGGCCTGCTTTGGTTTGAGTGTTTCATGGGTTTTTCTAGCCTTCTGCTTGTCTGCCTAGTTAATTAGGCAGACAGTGTAAACCAAATGGTTTGCTTGGCAAGTGGCAGCATCCCCCTCCATCCAAGCCCAAAGGCAGGATAAGAAGACAAGATGAGAAACTTCAGGCATGCAAGAAGAGAAAGGAGCCCCTAATCTTGGAGTTTGGTTGGTCTTTCATCCACTGAGTCAAGAACAAGGTCCAACCAACAGATTTGCTTTGAAGATTGCCTGCAGAGATAATATTCCTTTTTCTAAGATAGAACATCAGACAAGGATGTTAAAAACAGCAAGTAAAAAAAAAAAAAAGGTTACTTGGGGTTAGAGTATTTGTTACCTTTTGGTGTTTTTTTAAACCTAAAGCAAGATACCTCAAAGCTGCCTTCCAATTCATTTTACAAAAAGGGGATGCTTAAAGAAAAACAAATAAACCAGCTTGTATTTTTGTACTTGTTTTTAGAACTTCACTTACTTTTCACATCTTGTTTAAATTAGTCTGTGTCCTTTGAGTAATGTAACTTCAAAAGGCACAGAATTACAGACACCCAAATGTGACTTTCTTAGGAGTTTACCCATGTGTTGGGTGTACACTGTCCTCCCCTGTCTTCAGGAGGCCTCTCTGTGCCTGGGATACATACTAATGTCATTTTCTTAGGTCTCACTCTCTAAAATGTCCTCACTTATATTTAAGTATGTATGTTGTTCCTTATCTCTACCTAGTACACTCACTGACTTTGGTTCACTCTGACTCATTGTGAAATTCTTTCCTGTGATTGGTCAAGGATCCAGCATCATTTGGGCGGCAGTTTCTTAGGAAACTCCAGAGTCTGGCAGCAGTGCTGGGCTGTGTCGCCTGCTACTTCTGACACCTCTTTCTCTCTGCTCACCCTCCTGTCGCCTCCATTCTTGTCCAGGGAAAGGTACATAGTCCTTTCTGTCCTCCTGCCTGCTTTTCCAAGATCAGAGTCAGAACTACTAAAGGTCATCATTGCATTAAACTATTTGGAAATAGTTTTGGATCTATAGGATAATAGTAAACATAGAACAAAGAGTCTTCCTGTATTCTTTCCCTAACATCTTTAATCATGGTACATTTTCAAACAAAGGTGTTTACATTGATACAACATGTAAGACCCACGCTTAATGCAGACTTCACCGAGTATTCCACTGATGTCCTTTCCTGTTTCAGAATGTGATCCAAAATTCTGTGTTACACATAAGGACCCACTGTATAAAAGGTAAAATAGTGGATTGAGGGGGCATGGGAAGGAGAGGGAACTGGGATTGATATGTAAAATAAGATTGTTTTTAATTTAAATAAAAATGTATTTTTAAAAGAAGGTAAAATAGCATCAGCACTGCATCTATATTTTGGAAGTTCAGCTTACTGGAGTATTTCATTGCCTAAGGTGGAGAAGGGAGGTTATCCAGACCAGCTAACCCTTATGGAACACAGTGGACTCATGGTGAAGGTGAAAAATACTTTTCACTTTAGTCCACAGCGCTTGCATCTGACAGAAAAGGATATCTTTGATTCTGCTTTAAATTTCAAACATTCTGTCTCCAGCAATCAGTAACTTAATTGTTTCTCCTTTTCTCTTTGGCTCCTTCTCGATAATTTTCCTTGTGTCTAAATGAGTTTAGAGTGAGCACGATTTTATATACCAGCATTATTAACAAGTGTCGGCACAGCTCTGAAAATAGTGCCTGGGAGTCACTTGTTTCAGAACTCAGAACAGAGAGCCAGCTCCTGCTAACTCCCACCCATGGCTAATTACAAAAAAAAAAAGAGTTCCAAACCCACATGACAACTTCAGCCCCAGTTTCATCCTTGAGAAAAAGGCTGACTCTACCACACAATTTGCATGAAGAACTAAAGTTAGCCTGGGGACATTTTCTTTGCCACAAAAGTGTAAATGAGAAGCTAAGATACCTAGGTCCAGGTGCTACAAAGGCAGACTGAGGGAAAGTGGGGTTGTGTTGAGGCCTGGAGACTCGCCTGTCTCTTTAAGAGCAGAACAGGTTTTAAACATTCAAAGTCCTTTTCTCAGCACTTCTTCATGTTCACCCTTGCTGAGGAGAAAGCCCCGGGTCCTCCATTCATATTTTTTCAATCCAAGATGCCACGTTTAAGTAATACACTTCAAGTATTGGACCAGTCCAGGAAATATTAGCTGAAGCTAGCTCAGGCTTCGATTGAGTTTTCAGTGGGT